CCCCAAAACCCCAAAACCCCAAAACCCCAAAACCCCTAGAAATTAATAATTTTGATATTTAGAAGCTCTTTCGAGGATGCTTGTATGACCTGTTTCCATAATTCTTTTGGAATAGAGCGTCTTGGTCCTTCAGAAAATGTGAAATCTTGAGTAAATCTCCTAATGCGTTCTTTGTGTAATCCCTCTCAAGGATCTTATTTGCCTAGAATAGAGGAATAAAAGGTGTGCTGGAAGGTCTTACTGATCCATCAACAAAGTTGATCTTTTTGATATTCTGTAGTTCATTTAGTTCTCCCATGTTGGATAAATCAGCGAAGAACTTCCTGGAATCAATCCCCTATAAAATATTATATTAGCTTATTAGCAAAGAATGAGCATTTATCATTTCTGGATGTAAACTTTAGGATTGATAAAGTGTAAAATTAATGTTGCTCCAAAGATCCAGTCGTGATTCCTTTAATCCTTGGAGCGAATTTCAGGGAAATTCTAGTAATCGATAGTCTAATCTCCTAACAAAGATGAGTAACTCCACAGCTTTTATATAAAATGAGGTTGACAACACAAGTATAGGAGTGGAGGAACCTTACTTGGAAACCCTTTGCTTCTTCTCTCGTCTTCTTGCTACAATTTGATGAGGCCATTGATCCTCGCTTATGCTTAGGCTTTCTCATAAAATTTTGGCTATTTTTAAATAATTTCAATGGCTTTGATGAAGGTTTTGGTGACTTTAGAAATATGTTCGGGCCTAAAGTTAGTATCAAATTACTTTTAAACCAAACTGGGCTATAGAATTTGGTCCTGGTTGAATGAAACACTACTTTTCTACTTTGGCGCTCAATTCTAGGCTTTTGATTGAGAAGTTGCTGCATGAGTTAGTTATAAAGCAGATACCTTATTTCCATCTATTAATAAGTCGCTAGTATCATTTTTAGCGTCAAAAGTTTCAAGGTGTTTGTCTTCTTTGGCCATCCTAGAGTATATGTTCCAAAGTTTACATGTCTTTTAATTTAACAATTTCCATTGTGTCAAATTTTGGAATATCTGCAGGTAAAGCATTAAGCATACTTTTCCTATTTCTGCTGACCAGTAGCTTTGCTTTAGCACAGATCTATACTCAGTCAAATCAGGTGATCGTACTGGGAGCTTGATTTTATTTTTGAGATCTAGTGGAGCACCTTTCGCTGTGGACATGGAATTCCTCTTCGATCCGATTTGTCTAGAAGTATCGTTTGGAAGCAGCTGGACTAATATCTTTTTACCTATACAGTATTATAACTTAATTTCTTATGAAATATACTTTTGTGCTAGTGTGCCAAAAGTCTTCTTAATGCTTGAAGGAAGTCAATTCTTGAGATTAAAGGCAACTTTAGGGTAAAAGCGATGTCTTCTTCGAGAAAACTTGACTCTCTTATTTTGTACCTAGATCCCTTGAGATCAATGCATACCTTCTGGTTTGGGCTATTGACTTCAACAAAGAAAGGGACATTAGTGAATGACATTTTCAATAATTATATTTCCAAAAGGGGTTTTGGGGTTTTGGGGTTTTGGGGAGAT